CAGAGGGAGTGACATCTTCCATTCCTGCAGGAGCCTGCTGCCCAAGGAAAGCCTGGGCTGTCCCTGCCTCTGGAACTGCCCTCTATTCCCTGATCTGAGGGCAGGCTCCAGAATAAATCTTATTCCTTTCAGTTCCACTGCCATCCACTGCTATCAGAAATCAGGAATATGTTATTCTGTCCCCTTTGATCTCATTCAAACCGTGAAAACAACAGCCTAAGCATTTTGCCCTGCCGTATCTCGGGGAGCTGGAAACCTTTTACCAGCAGAAATTCTTCCAGCAGTTACCATGACGACTCTGGTAATAGATATTTAAAGGCAGCTCACTCATAATCACATTCATTAGATATCAGGAGGCTTTAGTAAGAAAGGCACAAAAAGCTTGAAACCAGGGAGCCAACCAGGCTTGGTGATGGTGTAAGAAATTTCTGGGGAGGGATCTGCTTATCCCATCATTTAGCTGGACACAAAGGGCTCCTGCCTAAATCTAGAATGGCATTGAAGCTTGCAGAATAAACTATTTTTAGTTTGTCAATTGAAAAATTGGTTCTGAAAGCCTAATTTCAATGGTGGTACTTCAATAAATCCTTTCAGAGTGGACATTACCAGAAATACAAGAAATAGCTGTGCCACAGCTCCATCTCCCATTAGGGCCAGGCTGCTGGGAATCTCCTGGTCTGCCATCACCTGGAAACTCCAATCTGGATAAAGCTCTCTGAGTTGAAGAGATATGTTTGGTTATAGAAATGTTAAATAATTTATTTCTTTAGGTTTGAGCCCACAGCTTTCCAACCCACTGGGACACAACCCAGAGACTCTGCAGAAGCTGATCTCCAGGTAGGGAGCCACCTCTCCAGGCGGGCTGAGCCTGTGCAACAGTCATCAAACTGAGGTTTCCTTTCTCTTTTTGCTGCATATTTCCATGACAACTTTCCTGCAGTATCAACTTCTTTCTCTTGGAAAGGTCTCTCAAAGAGAATTCAGGCTTCTATAGCAACAGCTGAAAGCCCTGGGAGATAATGATGCCTGGAACTTTTTTTAGACCACGCAAGTGTGTTTTAAATTTTATAGGTAAAAACAAAAATCTGTGTAATATTGGGCAAACTGGGAAGAGGAGAAGGAGTACCTTGCTGAAGTGGAACAAACACAAAGAAACCACCTTATTTTCAAAAGGGATGCAGACTTTGAGATCTAAAACTTTAGGGAGAGCAGACAGGATCAAAGACTCATCTTGAAAAGCCACATCCTGTTCCTTCTCTCTGAGTTACAGAGCTCAGTCACAAGGAACGAGTCTACTGATCCTAAAAGGAGATTTTAGTCCAAGATCTCTCTCTGCAGCCTATTTTATATTGACTTAAAGAAAAAAAAAATGGAAAATCAGTGAGTCAGGATACTTTTTGAGTTTTAACTCCAATATACCTGCCACCTATCTATAATCTAACCTTTTTCTTAGTACTTTAGCTGTTTGCCATGGTGGTGACACAGTATTCTCCAACACTGAGAGCTACTTTAGAAGAAAAAAAAACAACTCAGCTGCACTCTCAACCAAATAAATTTGCTAAACTCATAAAGCCATGGAAAGTACAGAAGCTGAAGCAGCTTTCCTTCATTGAAATTAGATCTATTTCACAAAGCACTTCACTTCTCCAGCGCCCCTTCCAACCAAAAGTCTTTTAAGGAAAAAAAAGCCAAAACACTTTAACCTACATTCACAAGGTCAATGAGAGGTAGGAAAGGATTAAATTTAATCTATAGATGAGAACACCACAGGGTGGAAACAAAGCCCAGCAGGTCCCAGCACCTTCCCTTTTGCAGCCACTGGAAAGCTCTTTGTTCCCAACAGGTGAGATCAGGTGTGACCACCTGCAAAGCAGCCCCACTTTCTTCTGCTTATGCTGATTAAAAGCTTTTCCTTTTTTCATTAAAATACTCATTGATTTATCTCCTCCTCATTCACCCCTGCATCAGGACAGTTCTGATAAGGAAAAGAAAGTGCCCAATGAGTGAAAAAGAATGGATTTGATCTAATTCTTGTTGACTTCCACCTTCAGTCACTTCTTGCCCAGCTGAACAACTTCAGAAAACACTTTGGAACTGGCATTTTGACAAAATATAACTAAAAACTGTGAAAACTTATTTTAATTTTTTAATAGCATTGCTAGAGTCTCTTCAAAACCTGGGAACCCTACAACCAAGACACATATGCAAAACCAGGATTTCTGACAAACCTCTCATTATTTCCAAGATTTATCCTGTCTGGAGAAGCCTGAAGCGTGGGAGTCACTGAGTCACTGCAAAGGTCAAGTGAGACGCGAGGATTCGGTGTCACCGTGTGCTGCCCTCTGCTGAAACAGCCACCGAGCTCCTCGGAGCAGCACCGAGCTCGGGATCATCTGTGCCCGCTGCTGCCGTCACACTCACCCGAATTCACAATGTTTCATTTCCTGGGACCGTGAAATACATGAAATAAAAATAACCCGAGCTCTTGCATTGGACCGAACAGCTCCAGGATAAAGGAGTGGATGGAACAGGAACAGGGTCAGATGCACAGGTTCACAGGCTTGGAAATAAGAAACAGCTGAAAGTTTCATTTAAACATCTTGTTTATCAAAGATGTTGAACCCTCATAGTCCCTCTCAAATCCCTAATCCTCCGTCTGATTTCACCCACACGAAAAATCTGTTCAGGCAGATGAGATTATTCAAACACCCAGGCACTGGAATTTGTTCGTATGTGGAACAGAATGGGGAAAGGAGAAAACTATTAAATATCTAAGGAAAAAAAATCTAATTACTCATTAATATCCATAAATAAGTATATTTTATAGGATCATATTTACAAAATTCTTGCTTAAATATTTTATTTACAAACAAATAGTAACCTAGCATTTTCTCTTAAACTCAGGGAAAGAGGAAAAAGTCAAAGCAATATTTCAACTATACATTAAACTCTTAGTGCTGAAATTCCCAATCCAACATATATGTTTTTTCCCTTTAGGCCTTTGGAAATTAGGCTTTGCTGTGAGACTTCAGCCCAGCAAGGTTATTTTGGTTCAAGAAGATTGAAATCTTAAGTTGAATGTTCCTTAGGGAGACCATCCTGCCAGCAACCTCAAGATCCTGCTGTAGTAGATTTTAACCACGTGCTTTTGCATGCGATTTGACCTTAAAAATGAAAAGAAGCGGGGGAAATACCCCCAGCAAACAAGCAAAATTCCCAAACAAACAACAAAAAAACCGTATTTTAAAAAAAATTCCCAAACAAACAACAAAAAAACCGTATTTTAAAAAAACCCAAGGACAAAAAAATAAAAAAAAAAAAAAAAGAAAAAGAGGGAATAGCAGCGGGCAGGTGGTGCAGCCAGTAGAGGGCGGTGGGATTTAGAGGAAAGTTGTTGAACTTCGTCTAATGAAGTATTTGAAGATAAGAAAATTATCCATTTAAATCGTTATTGGAACCTACCTACACTAAGACATAGGCGGGATAGAGAAAAAAAGAACCAAAATAGAAACGAAATTTTATTACTTTAAGACCTCTAAAAGTTGTATTTCAGGGTATCAGGAAGATTTCATACCAATGCATAATTTACTTAATTTTGAAATTAGTTTTCAATTACTGAAATACAATAATTCCACGCATCTTATTGAAACCAAGACAACTATTTCTCATAGGTTTTAAGACCTATGGGTAACTTGAAATAGAAAAATATCAAATAAGAAGAACGGTATTTTTAAGGCACACCTATTGTTACTTGTGAAGATGAAAACAGGTTCTAATCAACAAGAAAGTAAAACAGGTGAAGAAAAAGCAGCACAAGCAGAAAACATAGATTTAAAAAAAAAAATCATTCTTATTTACCAAAAGGAAAAGCAACATTCTCACCTTATCACCAAACAGAACACCTCCCCAGAGCTAAGGTTCGTGCATTATTTGACACCAGCCCAGTTTGCATTTTGCGACGGAATATTGTGGATATTCTCAGAGCCTTTTTGAGCTACACATGTCCTGAAGCAGCACCGCTGCCCCACGCCAGAGGGGACCGAGCTGTCCCCAGCCGGGGATGTCCCGGTGCTCCGTGGCACAGCGAGGACACCTTTGCCAGGCTCGGGTGCCTCGGGCCGTGCCATGAGGGAGCCCCGATGCCCTTCCGAGCTTCGCCGGAGCTGCGGGAGCCCCGCTGTCCTCCGAGCCCCTCATGGGCTGCAGGAGCCGCTCTGTCCCCCAAGCCCCACCGGAGCTGCGGGAGCGCCGCTGCCCCTCAGAGCCCCCCGGGGGGATGCGGCAGCCCCGCTGCCCCTCAGAGCCCCGCCTGAGCTGCGAGCCTTGCCTAAGCTGCGAGAGCCCCGCTGCCCTCCGTGCCCCGCTGTCCTCAGAGTCCCCCGGGGGCTGCAGGAACCCCGCTACCCTCAGAGCCCCGGCTGGGCTCCGGCGGGACGCTGCGGGCACGAACAGCGCCCGCCCCGTGCGGGACCTGTTGCCCTCAGACACCGGCGCGGGGCCGGAGTCAGCGGCGGGGATGATGCGGGGACACGGCGGCGACACCGCGACACCTCACCGGCTGCCCGCACCTCAGCCACTGAGGGCACAGTCGTCCCGCACTGCGGCACCTCAGCGCTCCCCCAGCAGCGGGATGCCCGGCGCGAGGCTGCCCGTTCTGTCCAGCCCAGCCGGTGCCCCCGCGCTGCCCGCACCTCCCCGCGCTCACCTGCAGCCGCCGCCGCCGGGCTCGGGGATGCTCCGCAGCAGGAGCCCTCACCTCACCTGCACCGGCCGCACCGGCCACCAGGGGGCCGGCCTGCGGCATGCCGGGTAATGTAGTCCCCTGGCTGCCTGGGACGGCCCATCCCCGCTGAGCGCCGCGGAGTGTGCCGGGAGTGGTAGTTCTTCCCTGAGGCGTCGGCGCGGGGCAGACTGGGAGATGTAGTCAAAAAGCTGTGGTGCGCAGCGGCTTCTCCCAGCTGTGGAACTACAACTCCCGTGCGCCCCCGCTGCGGTGGCTCGAGCGGGCCCGGACGCGGCGCCGAGCGGCCGTGGGTGTGCATGGCCATCATGGCGGCCCCGCCGCCCTCAGCGTCGGGAGAGCCGGCGCCGCCGCCGCCGCCGCAGCCGCTGCAGTACAGCCTCCTGCTGCAGCACCTCGTGGGCGACAAGCGGCAGCCCCGCGTCTGGGACCCCGCCGTCTTCGGCGGAATCCCCTGCCCGCCCAAGAGCGAGGAGCAGAAGATGGTGGAGCGGGTCATGGAGAGCTGCCCCTTCAAGGCGGCGCTGGCTTGTGTAGGAGGTGCGGCGGCTGTGGGGTTGTTCGGGCGTCCCTGTGGCGTCGGGAGAGGGGCGGATGGAGAAGAGGCTGCAGTCCCCGAGTTTAATTTCCCTCCTAAGCCTCCTCCAGTGCCTGTCGCATGTCGCAGGCAGCGATCTGTGTCTGCCTTCCTTGGAGGTGCTCGTGGCCTTTCCTCACACAGCACGGGCTGTCACAGGTGTCCACAGCACCGAGGGATTCCTGCCCTGTCACAGACAGCGGGGGCAGAGCCGCTTCATTGCCTGCGGGGAATGCGCTGGCATTCCCAGCCAAGTTAATTTCACTGTTTATCTCTCACAGGGTTTGTTCTGGGAGGTGCGTTCGGTATCTTCACAGCTGGCATCGACACCAACGTGGGGTTTGATCCCAAGGATCCCTACCGCACGCCCACGGCCAAAGAGGTGCTCAAGGACATGGGGCAGCGAGGCATCTCCTACGCCAAGAACTTCGCCATCGTGGGGGCCATGTTCTCCTGCACGGAATGCGTGGTGGAATCTGTGAGTAAGAGCCTCTCAACCATTAAGAAATGTTTTCTGGTACCCTTTAGAATCCTCTACTAGATCCAAATAAGTACATATATCCTCTTTGTAATAGGGCAGTGGAGTAGGCTGCTTTGTTCTTTCTTGGCCAGCAAAGCTTTTCAGCTTTGAGATCTGTCTTCAGAGCTGCTGTTCTCTGACAGAATGAAGAACTCTTCTGCAGTAGCAAAGTCCTTTTCATTTTTAAGTCCTAAATGTATTGGCAAGCATAGGCATTACTTTTTAAAACCCTAGCTACAAGTGCTTGTGTAAAATGTCAAACTGTGAGTTGCAAGATGGTAATTTGAGTGTCTAAAAATTCCATATGCAGAAAGGGATCATTTAATGAAAGTTCTTGAGTAACAGGCCCATTTTCATCTGGCTCTTACAGTCAGAAATTACCTTTTGCAGCTCAGTGGTAAATCTGTCATCTGTTTTTTTTAATAGAAATATTACCCTGTTATGAATTTGAGTCCTGCCTTTTAATTGAAAGGCACAATGAGTTAAGAAGTGTAACTCATCTAGAAGAAAAGTGAATCTGCTTGCAGAGCAGAGAGATCTCTGGACTGGTGAAAATCCAGCATGTCCTGGCTATGGAAATAGTCCATCTTTGTCAGCAAGTGCTGTGACTCTCACTGTGCCAAGGAGCAGCTGCATGGCCAGGCTCAGGGCTGCTCTCATGTGGCTGTTGCACTTTTAGACTCAGGGCTGTGTTCTGTCCTGCCTCACCTGAGGATCCTTCCCACAGCACTGCATTGCACCACATGGATTTGTCTCACCTCTGCCAGTTCCCTTCTCCTTCCTCCCTTCCCTGCCCTGCGAGTCTGGGAGTGCAGGGCCATCTGCTGAGAGCAGAGGGAAGAACACCCTCAGCTGAGAAGGGGATGGAAGGGCATTTAACCTTTCTTGCTGTTAGCACAGATGCTGAGTGTTATTCCATATTTCCTTGTTGGCTGTGATTTGTAACTCCACAGTATCGTGGGAAGTCAGACTGGAAGAACAGCGTTATCAGCGGCTGCATCACGGGAGGAGCCATCGGCTTCAGAGGTTGGTGGTGCCTGCTGGGAGCTGTTTCTGTGATAAGATTGGATTTGGCTAAGCAGCACACGATGTTCTCAGTGTAGCACACACACCACAAACCTCCTTGCATGGGGATGTGGTGAGGCCAGCGTGAGAGTGTGCTCCGGACTGGCAGAGCTGTCAGCTCCAAGAATAAGTGTGGATAAGGAAGGGTTGGTCATAGAGGAAAATCAACAAAATTCACTTGAAAGAAAAGTCAGGAGGTGTTGGTGGCTGTCCACACTCTTCTGTGGTATCATGGGAGAGAGCCAAAAATACAAACAGAAGCTGTTAACTGAGCTTTACACATCTGCCATTTCACTGTCTCCGCTACTCTTCTTTGAAATTAGAACTAAAGAGCTCTCTTCTTTTGTACCATGTGTAAAATGCTTTTCTCCTTTCTCATGTATCAGTTCAAACAGACAATTCTACTTACATGTGAATGAGGAGTGGGGTTTTAGTCCAGCAGCACTAGTGGAGATTTTCCTTTAGTGGTAACATCTGGGAAAATGCCCAAGTAGGAGAGAGCTGCTCTGCTCATCAGAAATATCAAACTTCTCTCACTCTCCTTAAGAAAAAAAACCAGTCCTGTTTTAACAAGCATAAACAAAAAGAAAGCTCTTGAAAGTGCTTCTAATTGAGCTTGTTAAGTTGTGTTTGTCCTAGACCTAATCCTCTTAGAGCTGTCAGAGCAGTGGCTGCTCTTCCTCTCCCTCCTAACCCCACCAAGCCACTTGCAGGGCTCAGATGAGAGCACAGTAAAGTCAGCAGTGGCCACGGGAGGGTTTGTACATCAGGCAGTGGCAGTGCCAGTGTCCCCTGGGAGGGCACTGCCAGGTTCCTGCTGCTGTGAGCTCTGAGCCAGCACAAGTTACTGGGCATAAGAATATTTCCCCTGCTTTGTCTCATGGTTTCCCACCCTTGCCTTGCAGCGGGGCTGAAGGCCGGCGTGATCGGCTGCGGAGGATTCGCCGCTTTCTCCGCCGCAGTCGATTACTACCTGCGGTAACAGCCAGGAGCAACAGTCCCTGTCCAGTGCTGCTGCTGAGAGCCTGCACCACGGCACAAGCACCAGGCTTACCTTTCCACTGCCTCTGGAGTCGGGGTGGCACTGGCCACTGTGTGAATGACTAACAGCAACCTGGCTGCAAGCCCTGGCGAGCTGCTGCAGGCAGGCTTGCGGGAGCAGGGGAGCATGGAGCCAGGCACAGAGCAGCATCTCCAGGACACATCAGCTGACTGTCAGTTTCCAGGAAACATGCCTGGACTCTGAGCTCTTTCGATCCTTTGGGGCTGATTTTGATTAAGTCTGTTGCTGGCATCAAAAGAAGGCAGGAGGACAATCTTTGATGAGAAATGCGGCGATTTAGGTTGTCACATATTTGAAGGTGCTGCAAGTGTTTTAACAGTCACCAGTTTGCAGCTTGCTACTCTGTTGGGGAGAGGTAAGATCCTGTGGAGAAATAAGCTTGTTCCAGGCTTTTCTTAAAATATCATCTGAAGACAAACCACCATCTGTACAACTTGTGTTATTTCAAGTACAGAGATGAGCGCCAGATTTCTTTACCATGTTTTAAAGGGAAAAGCAGAAAGGAATCCTTACCCTTAGAGCTGTGGTTACTGGCAGATGAACAGAACAGTTTAAGGGAAAAAAAGAGGTTGTTGCTGAAGTATAATTCTCTGTAGCCACTTGGCCAGCCTGATTTAACCTCACTGTGGGAGTGCAATCTTGCTACTGCTTTAATTGCCCCAGGCTCACCCCATTAGTTCCAGCAGTTTGATGGTGAGACTTAGAAAGCAGAGCTGTGAGAATAAACCAGTGTTTGACAGATAACTGGGCACTCACTCAGCACACAGCCTGCTTCCCATCACATCCCTGTGCCACCTCCAAGTGCCCCAGTGTTACTTACACAGGGAGAAGTGAGTGGTTTTTCTCAGCTCAGTTTTTTCTGAGCCCAAAATTGGTGCTGAAATCAAAACATATGTTTGTTAGCTCAAGGAGCTGCTGCCTCCCTGATTGGTGTTCTCTCTGCCCTCCTGCTCTTCTAACCAAGCTCTGTTCTCAGACCTCAGAGGGTCATTTTTAATCTTCATTGAGCCGCTCCATAAAGGCAAACACTCCCTCTAATCTTTTTGAGGCAGTGGCATTTCAGATGCAGTGCACACAACTAATAGAGATCCTCCCACTCACCTCCCCTCCTTTGCATCCACAGTTGGACATCCCAGAACAGTGACAGCCCTTGTTGACCTGGAAGAGCAGCTCTAGCAGTGTGTTTTGTCTGATACAGTGGTCAGTGGTCAGTTTGGAGGCTCATTGGCTCCCATTCCCACATGGAAAGAAGTGGGGAGACAGCAAGCACCATGTGATCTATCAGATGAGGTTTCCAGATCTCCTGATGTTCCTTGCTGTGCCTGTTCAATATCCTCAGGCCAGAAGCTGTGCAAGTCAGCTGAATTTTAAGCTTGAGTAATTCTAGGCTGATTAAACAGCGTGGCTCCAGACAGTCCAGGGTTTTTTCCTCCAAAATGCAAGGATGTAGCCCAAACCATAAGAAGTCTCTTCAAAGATTGCCTGGCACAATGCCTGTGCTTATACCACTGGCTTGAAGTGCAACTAGCAAGAATTCCATGACAGAATGAAGAAGCTGTGATGCCAAAGTGATCAGTTAGTGCAAACAGCAACACCACAGGGCTTCTTTTGTGCAAATATCGGGGCTTTGCATTTTTATTAACATTTTTTTTCTCCTCACGAGGTTTTACAGCCATTTAAAGTTTATAATCTACAGAAATTGAAACAGAACACAAACAAAAATATATCCTTAACAACTTTTGAAAGTCAAATATTAATTAACAGTTCTATTCTACCTGTAGCTGCAAGACTCCACCCCCTCTTTTCCTTCCTGTAGGGACAAGCAAAAGCCAGTCATGGGGACAGCCACAGCCTGTTGTGCTGGGCTGTGGGGACCGGGCCTCCAGCCACTGTCACAGGGGGAGATTTGGCTGTACAGAGTCTCCATCTGGAATGACAGAGAGTGGACAGAGACTTGGACACATGTAACAAATCAGACACACACAGGGATCTGTTGTGCAGTCAGATCTAAAGCTCGGCCTCCTTACTGGGTCCAGGGCCAAGACAGACGCCTGGTTATTTTCTGCAATGCTGTTTCCCTTCTGTTGAGCTGGTAGTCAGGAGGAGCAGGGTCTGGAGTGTGAGCCCTTTGGAGGGGGATTGAGACCTCCCCTCCTTGGTTGCTTTGCTGGTGCAGGGCTGGCAGGTGCTGCCTTCCCCAGGGAGGGGGCTGAGGACATACCTGGTGCATCGGTGGCTGGGCTCTACCTGGAACAGTCCAATAGCTGGGAGGGTAAAGGCAACGCTGCTGTGGGGGACAGGCTTGGTCACTTCTCATCCATCTCCATTTGGCACAGGAGAGCACAGGGCCAACGCAGTCGGGGACATGGGGGGGCTTTTCCCACAAGAACATGGACTCAGCTCACAGAGCGAAAGGTTTTGTGTCCCAACAGGTACCAACACCTACCTGGGAGGTGGGAGTGTGGGGGCATCCCAGGAGCCAGGCACTGGGGCAGCCTGTCCTGCCCTGAGACATGGCCTGACAGCTCCAGCCATCAGCTTGGGAGGGAGGGCTCACTGGAGCCACTAACAAACAAACCTGAGCTGGCTGGGCACGGCTAATCCAGCAGCAACCACTTTGGGAGAAAGACAGAACAAAGCACTTCTGCCTTCAGTCACGAGGCCACGAAGGCTTTCCTCCTCCCATCCTTCTGTGCTGGTTCCCAGGCTGGGTGACCATGCAGCTGCTGCAGAGCACTTGCCTCTGGCAGCCAGGCTACCACCGAGGCAGGGCCATGTGCTGCCATGTGCTCAGTGCAGCAGGGAAGGCCAAGGAAGGGATAAAACATCTCCTTGTCCCCGTGGCCACGGGAGGGATGCTGTGCCACGGGGTGCATGCAGTGCTCATGGCAGTGCTGGGCTGGCAGGGGCGTGAGTGCCTCACTATGGCAGACAGAACTGTACAGCAGATACCCTGCTCCCCACCAAACTTCCAAATTGGGGAAATTTGCGACCACATCAGTGCCAGAGCAGACGTGGGGTCAGCCCATGGTGCAGAAAGCAAACCTGCCTCTGGCTGGCCATCCTTTCAGCCTGCTGTGGATCCAGACCAGCCCAGCACCTCTGGCTCCAGCCTTGTGTGAGGGGTTACCCCATAACTACTCAGAGGCGAAATCCAGCGAGGGGAGGAACCGCCACGCCACACACACACAGGCAAAGCACAGGGCTGGAGAGGGGACTGGCCTGAAACACCCAGAGGAGCCGTGGCAGGGAAGAAGCAGCACCTTGCTCCTCTGCCCTCGGGGTCGCAGTTTGCTCAGAGCGGAGCAGGATCCAGGCACAGGGTCCGACGTTTGCGCAGGCAGCGAAGCCAAAGCGGGGCTGGTGTCACCGTCACCAGGGAGGGAGGGAGGGAGGCCCGTGAGCTCCCGGCCTCGGAGCGAGCCAGTGCTGCACATGCAGGCGTGGGCAGGGAGCTGGGCAGCAAACAGGCACTCGTGGGGCACTGCAGGCTTCAGGCAGGGGGTGCCTGTAGGAGTGAGCAGGTGGGAAGGAGTCCAGGAGAAAACTAGCCAAGGGGGAAGCCTGTGTCCACAGCCCTTGTCAGTCACTACCTCTTCCGTTGAGCAAATATACATAAAAACAATCCTTGAACACAAGAAGGGACATAAGACACGACTACTTTACAGAGAGGGCCTGGCACCTGCTGGGACCGGGCCACTGGAACATGATTGTACAGGAGCTGCAGGCAGCACCGTCCTGGGTCTGGGCTGGTCTCCCTTGGGGGCTGTGGTCCAGTCCGTGTCCCCCAGCAGGGAGCTGGAGTGTTTGCAGCTGGTGCCTTCTGCCTGCAGGCTACACGTCCGTGGAGAAGTAAAGTGTGTTGCGTTTGAGCTCGCTGAAGGAGATGGGAGGATGCTGCAGGTAGTAGAGAAGGACCTGGACCTGTAGAAGGTAAATGGGGGAGTGTTACTACAGAAGGGGAAAGAGCTGCCACCTCCCAGCTTGTCCCATCCAGCAAAAAGTAACAAATCTACCCAGACAGGCAGGTGAACCCCTCCAGTCCCCAGCTCTTACCTGGGCCATCACATCGTGGGACCAGATGTCAGAGGCCAAGGTGAGGTGCGCCTTGCTTTCCCCCTCTGAGGGTCTCAGAAGTGTTGGCCCAAAAACCGTGGCCAGATTGTGGAGAGACATTTTGTTGATAGGTTCCTTTTCAGCCACCCTGTGGGGTACAGGAGAGAGGCAGTGTCAGCCCCTAACGATGCTCAGGAGTGGGGATCCATGGGGTGATGAGGAGGCCGAGGGCTGCTCTCCCTTCTCCCAGCAGCAGTGGGGCACCTCCAGCTTTCCACTGCCCTCTGCAGCCCTCAGAAAAGCCAGGTGCAGGGCAGGGAGCTCTGCCCCCTTCACGGCCTCTGCTGGAGCTGCTGGGCCTGGCTGGGAGCCCTGGGTGTGATGTGGCAGCAACCAAGCCCTGACTCCTGCACTGCGGGGCCTCCACCCTTCCTGAGCCCGCAGGGCATGGGAGCCCTGCACAGCCCCTGCCCCCTGCACCCACTCCCCTCGAGGCTCCCTGCCCCAACAGCCCTATGGGAGCCCTGCCAGCATGGAGGGAAGCAGGACCACAACATTGCCATGTTAGGAGGCAGCTGTGCTCCCCGGCACAGGCTGCTCGCTTGAGCCCCGGCCAGGGGAGCAGATGTGGGAACTGGCTGTGCCCGGTTCTCAGGATGGAAATGGATTTTTCCTTCTCCATCCCCCAGCATCAATCACTTTTTCTGTTTGGTTTTAGCCAAACCAGAGGAACAGAAAAAAAAAATTTAATGATGCAAGTAACATGAGCCATGAGCCCCAGCTCTGGCCAGGCTCTGTGTTCTGCTCTGCTGCCCTTCCACAGCCCTGTACCTTCCCTGGGTTTTGGGGCCCTAGGGACCCCCAGTCCCTGTGTCCCCAGGTTTGGATGCACCTCATCTGGGCCAAGAAAAGCCTGTGAAACCACAAACTGCTGCACTCACCGTGGGATAGCTGATATGAGGTGTCACCTGCAGTTCTGGGACATTTCCACAGAGCTGAGTGTCCTTGGTTCTTGGCCACCCGCTGCTGACAGGTGACAGGGATTGCTGCATCTTGTTTTGCAAGGACTACTGCTGGACTGGTGGGAAGGGACACAGAGCTGTTTTCCTGCTAAGGGGGACACTGCAGAGCTCCCAACTGACTCCTGCCCTGTGCTGAGGCCAGCTGCTCCCTGCAGAGCTCATCCAAGCAGCTGCACGCTGGCTGCAGCAGCCAAGCGTTCCTTGTTTGCAGAGGCCGTGTGCTCCCTGCAGAGCTGACCTGGATCACTGGCCAGGCACAGCCCAGACCCTGCTGGCACCACAGCCGGTGGTCCTGGGACACCAGGGCTGCTCTGGAGGGGCAGAACAGCCCCAGGACCCCCCCA